GGAAAAGTCTTACATTTCAATCAAAACAATCAACAAAGTCATGGTGCGAAAAGGTCACAAAACTCAACTCAACTCCGAAAGAGAGTCCTCGTCAATCCCAGTGTCAAGTTCAAGGTCTCTTAAACGTGACTTGTTAACTGATCAGGTCACGCTGTCGCGCCGGAATATTCCAAAAATACCAAGAAGGAGAGAAAGAGAAAACTGCCTCGAAATAAGTTCAAGATTGGATTTAATTTGTAGCTATAGTTAGCTGGTAGAGCGGAGCTCAAGATGACTGATCATGGGCTTAGCTCTATTGGTGGACTTTGGCTGAAGAAAAAGACTAAAATCTCCCTGTCTCGAACGACCAAAAAAAATTGAAACTAAAAATGCGCTCACGAAGGTTTTTCTTTCTTTGGGCTGTTTTCAACAGAGACGGAGATGATTTGTTTTACGACCCCATTTTCTTAAAACCTGTCTGGAAAACTTGGCCTACAGAGGACATGCCACATTTTATCGCGCAATAGAACTAAAATATCGCGTGATAAATTTTTCTTTATCGCGCGATTAGTCAACTATTATATAGCTGGCAGCACCAGCGGAAAGATGACGCGAATCCTGTGTTCTGATTGGCTCCTCATAAGTCTTGAAATTAGTCCAAAGCGTGGTCGAGGAGACGCAGAAGTCAGTACAAATTACAAGTACAAAAACGATGCGGGAGATTAATTTTGGACGCCACCATCAACGATAGTTCCGTTGAACTTTTTAATAAATAAGGCTCGTTACCTATTGATGACATTGCACCCGTTAGAAAACTTTGTATGCTACATAAACTTAGCCAAGGTCATTGTCCTGAATATTTTCGTTCATATTTTAAATATGTCAGATCTACACATGGTTATTGTACTAGATCTGCTATCTTCAATGATGTTCTGACACCATTTTGTAAAAGAAAATCAGGGCTTAGAACTTTCCACTCAAGTGCATGTAGGCTATGGAATAAACTAGGAAACTCTTTTAGAAACAACTTACCACTCAAATTTTAAGATAACGTCACTGAAAAATTTTATTAAAGAAAATACTTAATAGAGCATTTTAAGATCAGTAGGACGTTTTAAGTACAATTTTTAGTATTATGAATTCTTTATTAGGTATTTTTATATTAAGTAGGATTTGTTGGGGGCCATTATGTAAACTACCGGGTAATCGGTAATAATGTATTCTACCATCGGTAAATGAAGTGTTTGTTTGTTTGTTTGTTTGTTTGTTCAGCGAATCGGAACTGATACTAAACCGGGCGGGACGTATTGGTAAGTTAAGAGAGGATGATAAAGACACTTTATTTGTTGAGTTCAAGGAGATTGTTCCTATTGGAGCAGGTAAGTGAAGACTTCTCTTTATACATTTAGTTAATTCTCGCGTACTCACTTGTTGTTTAGGTTATGGGACGTCTGATACGTGCGGTTCATTGCATTGTTCTTTCGTGTGCTAGTAATTTAGCTTTTAGAGGCATGTAATATTGAGCCAAAGTAAACAGCACAAAACCATGTGAAGGTGATTCACTAATAGTACACGAGTTAAAAAACATATATGCCAATAGAATAAAAAACGCTGATAGAATAAAGCGAAGTTGATAACGTTCACGCTTATCAAAAACCAATCTTATCTGAAAGTTATTTTAAAGTTGCTGTTTGCGCGCGTGCCATATGGAGCCGGTCTGCGAATTATGTCTCATATAAAATTGGACTGGTGATAGTATTATCAGTTATATACGGTGGCTCTCAAGGGCCATCCACCTATAAAAATTTTCATGACTTTATCGCGCGATAAGTTTTGCTAAGCCCATTCATTCAAAAAATTTGCAATCAACATTATCGCGCGGTAGAACAACTTATCGCGCGATAGAACAACTTATAGCGCGATAGAACACTGTATCGCGCGATAGAACAACTTATCGCGCGATAACACAACTTATCGCGCGATAGAACACTGTATCGTGCGATAGAACAACTTATCGCGCGATAGAATAACTTCTTGCGCGATAGAACAACTTATCGCGCGATAGAACAACTTATTGCGCGATAGAACAACTTATCGCGCGATAGATAATATTATCGCTCGATAATTTTATTACTAGCTCCCATGGCCCCACGACCATTAGCACATGGTCACATACATAGCAAGATGGCGAACCAAGTTTCGAACGTGAGTAATTGTCCAAGAAATAAAGACTTTTATTCTTCATTTTTGAGCAAGAGACGGTAATGTTTGGGTTAAATTAAATTATATTTCTATGCTTTCTACGCCGTATATTCATAAACAATCTTTCACCTTATACACCTTATATAGTTTAAAAACGTATTCCTACACCTTACATTCATAAACAATCTTTCAAATATAGAGCAATAAAGTCCCTCTCATATCTTTAACTCCACTTAATAAGATAGCATAGCAAAATAGTTTAGTTTAATCCAAAGATTACCGTCTCTTGCTCAAAAATCTAGAACAAAAGTCTTTAATTCGTGGACATTACTCACCTTCGGAAACTTGGTTCGCCATCTTGCTATAGATGTGACCACGTGGTAATGGTCGTGGGGCTATGGGAGCGAGTAATAAATTTATCGCGCGATAATATTATCTATCGCGGGATAAGTTGATCTATCGCGCGATAAGTTGTTCTATCGCGCGATAGAACACTTTATCGCACGATAAGTTTTTCTATCGCGCGATAAGTAGTTCTATCGCGCAATAAGTTGTTCTATCGGGCGATAAGTTGTTCTATCGCGCGATAAGTTGTTCTATCGCGCGATAAGTTTATCTATCGCGCGTTAATGTTGATTGCAAATGTTTTGAAAGAATGGACTTAGCAAAACTTATCGCTCGATAAAGTCATGAAAATTTTTATAGGTGGATGGCCCTTGAGAGCCACCGTAGTTATATGTTTAACTCTCAACACAAACTTTTCAGTAAATATGCATTATGTTAATATAAAAATTAAAACAAAAAAAATACTGTTGGTGTAGCAAAAAGAATTGTGATCTTCTTGCATTGTTCATTTCCACTAAAGTGTCTGGGAGGGAGGGGTATGGGTGTGGCACTTTAAAATGAGCAGGCTTCAGTTCTGATTGTTTTCTGTTGTTGATTACTCTTGATAGCAATCTGCACAAGTTGTAGGCTGGAACACTGTAAAAAGCGCGAGAGAAGTGAGACTGAAGTGATTGATTTTGATGTGCATTTGGATAAAAGCATGGAACAGGTCAGCTTAATAGCATTGTATAAAGTCCAGTCCTGAGCGAAAGCGAGAGTTGACTTACTAATTACTTGAGTTTACTAGAAGTTTACATTAGATAGTTGGAACTGTCGATGAAATTAAAATTGGGAAAACAATGTGATTTTGCAATGATAAAAACATGTGAACGAAGGGATTTGAACCCAAGCAGTCCTCGAAGACCGGTCTGACTCCGTAAATTCTAACCCAAGGGGGATAGCCAAGTCCATGTTCGTATAAATTTTGACATATGGGATTCGAACTCACGATGACCCCATCTTGAAGATGCAATGGTCTTATTAACTGAAGCAACTGAAATATTTTCTTCTATAATGGGCCGCATGCTATTTATCTTCTGAGGAATAATAGACCATTTCCGAGTTCACTAGGGCCTCTGCATCAAACGAGGCTAAGTGATCAGCCTTAAAAATGGAAATGATTTTTCATTCTCATGCTCATGCAAATGAAACTCATTTTCACAAGAAAGGTTGTGCACTTGGCCTCATTTTGAAAGTGAGGGTTTTTGGAACTCGGAGGTAGCCTATTTAAATGGCGTTTATGTGGTAAGGACTATTTTGTAAAAAAAAATGGGTTCGTTTAGTTAAAATGTGCAAAATAAATAGCGTTATAATCTGGGATTAAGCTCCACAGCGGGAAAAAAAGGAAAAAAACGAGAGGAAACAGAGCGCCACCCTTTTTCCCTTCCCAGACTACCGCTTGGCTCGCTTCATTCACCGATTTATTTTCTCCCTTGCTGATCTGACATTTCGTTTATCCCCCCACTGCTGAGGCTGGTCCCAGGCTACTGACGTTAGGATTCATTAATCCACTGCCTAGTTAGATATCATCAACTAGTTTGCTGTGGTCTGAGAACTGACCAATAATGAAACTTCAGAAGAGAGAACAAGTGCTTTCAATGTAACTACATATAAACGCAATATAATAAAGGCGGAGATTGCTAGTCCGTGTCAATGAATTCAACAATTGGACTAATGCGTGGCTAGTAATCGTTATTTATCTATCTATTTTTTTTTTTTTACAGGAAGCTGGTGTACAGTCCTCTTCAGGGCAAAGCTTTGTGACAACTCCAGGAAAAAAAATGAGGAGGTAGGACTCAGTGGAATGTGAAGTTACCGTGATTGAAGAAGATCAGCCACTTCACGAAGACGCAGACGAGACTCTTTTGTCTCAGGCCTCTCAAATCAGCGGTCCTGAGAAAGAAGTAAGCATTTGGTGCGACGAGAAGGAAATCCAAAATCAGAGACGACAGGCACTGAACGATGCCCTGGGAAACCTGACAAGTGGACGCTTTAGTCCCATCCTTTCTACTTTAAATGCCTCATGGGACAATATCTCACCTACCCAGCAAAAGGACTATATTCGCAAGGGAAGGGGGGCTGTTGCAGTTGCGCTGTCAGTCATTAGTCCTGGGAAAGGAAAAGATCTTTGGAAATGTATCCAAAATGATTTAGACATAATCGAGAGGAACGAGAGTAGCTCATCCAAAAGAAAGCATTTCGACACAAACACTGGGCTCATTGATGTCTTGATCAAAGCTCATGATCAAGAGGAGTCGTGGCAAACTAAACGCCAGATCCTATCTCTTTTCGCAAATGACTTTAGCCGCAGAGAATTGCAAACGTTAATCCCTGGTTTAACTAAGTGGAGAATTGACCAGGCTCGTCAGCATGCCACTGAGGCAGGTTGTTCCCGAACAAACAATCTTCCGAAAAAGAACCGATCAGGGAAAGTTGATCATTTCATTAGCTATATTTCACAACCACAGCTGCATCAAGATGTTGCATTTGGAACAAAAACTCTTAAGCTTGACTCTGGCGAACGCATTACAATTCCGGCTGTTGTCCGGACCTTGATTCCCTCCAGAATTATCGAACAGTACACAAGCTAATGCAGAGAGCAGCAGTTTGAGGCGGCAAACACAAGTTCTCTGTTTAGAGTGCTCGACATTTGCTAAGCGTCGATGCAGAGGTCCCTTCATGGGCTTCATAACATTAGAGCGGAAGGGACTGAAGCATTTGACAACCTGCGCGCAATCGTTGACACTTAAGTAGAAAACGGGGCAGAGGAGCATTGGGCTGAGAAAATGCGACGAGACTTGAAAGAGGCAGAAAGATATTTGAAGACGGACTATAAAATTCAACGCACGTGGGTAGAAACGAAAACAACAGCGACCATTGTACCGTTCATGCCTTAAGCGACCCGGAGAATCCTGACTTCTATGAAAAATGTCCACACTGCCATGACATTCACTGTGATAGATGTGACTCCCTTGATTCGAATTTCCGCGACACACTAAAGAAGATCTATGAGTTAGTCATCAGCGACGAAACGAGAGCTAGAATAAACCTCGAGAATAAGGAGCACTCTCGAGCAGTCCAAGCCTGGAGAGCACATTTACTTCGTTCTGTTAATCAGGAAGAAGCAGAACAGAATTCTCTTACTCAGCTTTACGAAGAAACATGCTTGATTATCATGGACTGGGCGATGAAATATCTGCCGCAGCACTACAGAGAGCAGATGTCTGAGTTCTTTGGAAAATGGGGTAGAGGAGGGCAAATGTCAAGTTGAATGCTTTGTGCATCTCTTCTACACTTGCAAGCAAAACACCTTCACGGTTGTCAGTCATTGAGCATGTACTCAACAAAATGATGACTACGTACCCTTCAATCCTTCAAAGCTTTTTTACGATCAGACAACGCTGGTTGTTATCACAGTGGGCCCTTGATCCTCAGCCCTCCGTACATCGGGACAAGATCTGGTGTAATACCATTACGCTACGACTTTTCCGACCCTGAAGCCGGAAAAGATATTTGCGACCGGAAAACTGCCCCCATGAAAGCTCACATCAAGAGATGGGTGGATGAGAAGCATGACGTGATAATTGCAGAAAATAGGAAAGAGGCCTTAGAATCCCACGGTGGCCTCAAAGGCTGTAGAGTAGCTGTTGTACAAGTTTATACCACTAAGTCTGTTGGCGTGGAAAACAAAATGCCTGGAATCAGCCTTTTGAACAACTTCTTATTTGAGGAAAGGGGAGTCCGTGCTTGGAGAGCTTATAATGTTGGTCCAGGTTGTTTCATTCCGCATGACAAAGTAATTATCGAAAGGCAAGGGGACACTGGAATGAAAGAATATCAGCCTTTTCGTGCCAGAACGAAAGAACGAGGTAATATTGCACAATACACTCGGCCTCTCACTGAAATCTTCCCGAGCACGGAAACTGGATGTGTTCTCAGTTTTAAAACACTCGAAGAGGTTGAACAACACATGGATTCAGGGAAACACTTAAGAGAGTTAGAAGCGGAGTCTCTGTATGATAGTATCAGTAAAAAGTGGGCCGAGAGGCTTACTGGCGTTAATGAACCGGCTTTCATGAAACTGGAACTTACTCCGGAGAAGAAATAGATTTTTCATATCCCTCTTCGAGCAAAAAAGATCAACAGCCAATGGGATGGGCAATTAAAACGGCAAAGAAGCCGTCGAGAATGGAGGCTCATGTAAAAGCGTATTTGGTTGAGAAGTTTGACACAGGCTGTAGAACTGGCCAAAAGGCAAAGCCGGTTCAGGTCGCTCGGCAAATGAAAATTGTAAAGGACGGTGCTGGACATTTGCTGTTCACCCCACAGCAATGGAGAACAGCACAGCAGATAAATAGTTTTTTCTCACAGCTATCAGCAGTCCAGCGACAGACACATATGGAAAAAGATACGAGTGAAAATCCTACGAGCCAGGAATTTACGGAGGAGGATCCTGATTTAGCAGCTGTAGAAAATGAAATTGCGCTTGAGAATCTACGTATAGCAGTGAACCTTCAAGTGACTGCGCCTCAGCATCCTATTGTTGTCCGAAATAGGAACGTGTGCGAAATTTCAAAAGCGGAGAAACTCAACATACTGAAAGTAGTTGAGCTGAGAGAAATGTGCGAAAGTATTCAATTAGAGGTCTCGGGTTCACTAGCGAGAAATAAATCATTCATCGAACCCTTAAGTTCGTACGCTAAAGTAATGTTGCACCTGTTTCACGCGTGCGGAAAATAAGCGTTAACGCGAATGCCATCGTTAATTCTACGACCCACTCTCTTGATTTTTTGCAATATATGATTAAATATTACGGATTAGGGCGAAGCCTGCAATGGAGACCTATGGTGTCTTTCGAAATAGCCCTAAGCAGTAAATACTTTGTTTACAGTCAGAAGAAACTTTAAGTTTTACCTTACTTACAATTTACTTTCGTATTTTCAGAGTTAAAATGTGATATCAACCAGACAGTAGAAAGCATTTTAAGTCTTGTTCTATTTTGTTAGCATGCAGTTCGCTTCCAATCAGAAAAAGATTCCGATTCCATTTGTTATTAACGGTGTCTCATTAGCTAGGGGACTCTGCAAAGTGCGGACCGGATAGATGCGGATGGCGGATGCGGAGAGAAAAATGCAGATGAAAAACTGGTGAGATTCAATCTTATAACGTGTATTTTTATGATACCTCTTTACACTTGTTTTTTTTTTTCTTTCTATTGTATTCCTCCACCTATCATATTTTATTTCTTAGTTTTGTATTACTTTTATACCGTTACCGTCTTTTCCATTCTCACTTAGGTTTCGTTGGAAGACTAGTTTTGTCTAGTCGAAATATTGGGCTAATATAATATATTATTAAAAATCCATAGCTAACCGATCAGCCTTGCTTTCAATCTCAAATATTACTTTATATCGCTGATCCTGATCTACAAAAAGATTCGGCTTTCCCTCGCCACTGATTTTCCGAGTGGTCTTTCCTAGAATTCTTCGGATTGTAGACAATGGATGGAAAAAATTGAGGGTAAACCAAAATAGTAAGAATAAAAAGATTGGAAAATCAGCAAAAAACAAATTACGGATTTAAAATAATACAGTTTGCTCAGGAGGTTAGAAAGCACCAGCCAAATTGAAAATAACAAAACCATTAGTGCAGTAAATGGTTTGAACCCGGGGGTAACATGTGAAGGTGTAGTCTGATCGTCCGGGTGAGTGTAGTCCTGAGAAGGACTGTTGTCGGTGGCAGTGACTGACGTTTCGACAACCTGTGCGGAAGTCATCATCAGAGTCAAGTGAATGATTGTTGTCAGTAGAATGTTCTTATTCCAGTTCGTGTGAAATGATCGGTTGGTTTTGCCGTGATGTTATTGGCTGTAAGACTCAAGTGACGTAAGTCGGTCGTGATTGGTCTGTTTCGGTCTGTCGGTAAAGTGTACCAGCATATTCACAATCATGATGTATTGCATACTTTTTAGTGGGAGTCCCACCCCCTCATTAAAGAATGCTCGCTTCATTTCATAACTATATCAAGCAAACTCCCTTGCCAATAGGAAATCCCCACTTGACAAACAGCAAAAATTTAGAAGTAAATCAAAGACACTTAGTTTTCAGGTTGAACAGTTGATTAGTTATAGGCTGTTACTTGTTAGCTCTTTTTCAAGATCCAGCAAAAACATAAAAGTTAAGGCTGACAGATTACTGCCCTTCTTTCTCTTCCCAAAATTTGTCGAGAAGTGCTTTTCTTATCTCTTCTGCATGATGTGATTTATCCCTCTTCATGGTGCAGTTTCTTATCATAAACAGTTCTCTGACCTCCTTCCTGCTTCTTCTCCCATGTTGTGCTGGATGCTCTGTTATGTCTAACTGTGATGGTAGGGAATCACCCATGTCTATACAAACATTGTGAAGAACAACACATGCTAATGTAAGGCATTTAATGGCATCAGGTTGACAAGATGACTTACGGTAGAAAACTCTCCATCGACTCTTCAGCTGGCCAAAAGCTCTTTCTGAAACCATCCTTGCCCTGCTAAGGCGGTAGTTGAAATAGCGCTGTTCAGCACTCAGAACAGCATTGGAGTAAGGTTTCATCAACCAAATACGAAAAGGGAGAGCCGAATCCCCTAGAATCATAGGATAAATGTCTGTTCCTTGAATGTTCTGTGATATTTCAGGGATCGCTTTCTTTTCCGTGATATCACTCCATAGCTGTGTAGACTGAAAAATAATTGAGGCATGTGAATTACCTGGAAAACCTACGCTGACACACATGAATCTTGCCGCAGCATCGACAATGGCCATCATAACAATAGAGAATAAGTTTTTAAAGTTATGGTACTCTTTACAAGCTTCCTCTCCACCAGGTGGGCACTGAATTGCGATGTGGCAACCATCAATTGCTCCCCAACAGCAAGGAAATTGCCAAAGCTGGTTCATGTCTACCATGGCTTCTGTAAAATCCTGCTCAGAAGTTGGGAAATGATTTGTCACTGCCCTCCTCCATAAGTTTTTAACGATTGGCACGCAGACTTCCTTAACAATGACATCCACAGTTGCTAGCCCAACGCCAAACAATTCTGCTATTGTGTACAGGTAATCACCCCTCCCAAGCCGATAAAGACATATTGCTAATCTGCACTCCGGAGAAATTGGCACTTCAGTCAGCTGATCCTTTGTGATATCCTGCCTGATATTCTCTAATATATGGGAAAACTTGACAGTTCGAACAGTTCGGCCATGTATTCCAATCTTAACTAATGGAACTTCAGTATGGCTTACCAGGTCAAAGACCTTTTTGAAGTCAATAAAGATAAGGCCTGATACTTTATCACTATCCACGTCAAACAGAAATTTGTCATTGAGCTTGATGACAGCCGTCTCCGTCGGGTGATTCACGGTTGGAATCCTGATTGCCCTCGGAGAATCAAGCCATTATCTTGTAAGTAAGCAAGTAAAGAGTTTGCAGCGTGCCTTTCGATAACTGTAGAAATAACAGAAAGGACCGAGATTGGCCTGTAATCCTTGCAACTATCCCAAGCTCCACCTTTATACCTAGGCCCTTCGTGCAAAGATAAAAAAAAAAACAAACAAACAAAAGAGAAAACAAGGAAGAAAGGCGATTCGAGGAATCTGGGAACGGCGTGAGCGCGTGCGTTGGTACCAGGATCATACTCAAATGATGCATGCTTGCGTATGCTACATTCCCTCCTTCCGTTTTGTTTGTTGTAAAAAATCAAACAGCGAAAAAACAAACTAGAGTCCGAACTCCGTAGAAGATATGTAATTAAAATGATCACAACATTCGGTTTGAGTAAAACCCCTTTCACTTCGTAAAATTCCGAACTGAAGGATTTAAAATAAGCGTGAATGAAAACTCAAAGACAACAACAACCGAACGAAGACCTGTTGATTCGTCTCAACTCTTAGATAAACTGCTGCCGCATACGCAACTTTCGATCCATCTCCAAAACCGTGTAATTGAATTGAAATTACGCTCTCGTCTGAAAGATAACTTCTTTGGATCTGGATACATTCGGCCTTGACAGATCAGATAACCATTGCGAGTACCTCAAAGAAATTCCCTCGTCGAGAGGTTCATCCCAGCCATTTTTCAGTTTGCATAGATCTTGGAAGAGTGTCTTGATCGTTGTGAAAAGAGGTAAAATTAAACCAATTTGTGGATCATATAACTTGGCCACGACCTTGAGTAATGTACGCTTTTTCAAGGTAGATCTTTAGCGAATTCATCAGCCAGTCAAATTTGAAAACGAAAATGTCTCTTTCAATAATTTGTTCATGTTGTCCCTCAGCAGCATTGTTAAAGTATACAATCTCTTCGAATGAGGCCTTAAACTGATGATACCGTTAATCGGCGAGAGCTTGGATTTAAAATTTCACTTTTTACAGCAGTTTAAGGCCTCATTCGAACAGTTTGTGTCTTTCAATGTTCTAATTTAATCCAAGAATTCTCTTCTCACTTGAAGCCGACTCTGAACAACCTTGAACTACAAACTGACTCTCGCATGAGCAGTGTCTTCTCCGGATAACTTGACGACTTCTTTGACCGGTACTCCTTCTTCTTCGTCGAT